CCAGTATCCCTCGCTGATTTGCCTCTTTTGAGTTTGCTTTGATCCTTCTTTTTTAATCCGCTTCATTATTTAGCTATGCAGCAAAACCAAACGCCTAGGAGGCCTAGTAAACTAGGGCAAAGTGGGACAAAAAAAAAAGCTGTACACGTGGCTGCTTAGTTATGTTCGCTAGTGCCTACTGACTGGTCTGTCCTTACAGGAAAAAAGAGGCAAAGGACACTGCTCAAAGAAGGACGCACAGTCAGACTGAGTCTTTCTTAGAGCCTAGAGGCCTCTTAAAAATATCACTGTCAACAGTAGCAATAGCAGATTTGTGCGTGGAAAGATTCGATAGGTCGAGTGAGTTCAGTGATGGGGGGGGTCAGTCCTATAGTCGGCACCACCAACAACGGCGACATCACCGTCATCCGATCCGGAGAAGAAGCCCCACAATCGTCGAACGCTGTCTTAGCTATCAGACGCTTATTCGAGGAGCATCTCCTTCGTTTTTTCTATTTGTTGCCTTTTGGACATTAGTATCAACTAGTCAAGATGGTGTTGATACGATTCTGACAATGTATACGCGTTCCGCCCATCACTTCGCAGAAGACAAAATCTCCCAGAGCGTTTTGTTTATTTATTAACGCAACACTGGCTGCGATGCGAAGTGCTGGATTGTCTAGTACGGTGAATCTAGCTAATACAAATTCAATAAAAATATATCAGTATTCTGTGATTCGACGAAGGAAATTCTACAAATAGTACAACAATTGTACGCTTTATTCCCAGTATAGAAAAGATTCTTAGTGGGTCGTTCTCAAGGAGCAGGACAAATAGGAAGCGTCAGGACAGACTTTACCGGGATGCAACCCGGAGCTTTGGGTGGGGTTGTAACACCCATGTGTCACTTTCTGTTTAACGAACGAAAATATCGAAACACCGTTTCATGATTAGATGTTATATTATTCATAAATCTCCCTATAGATATACACTTCTTTTTTTCTACTGTATTCTTATACCCACAGGCATTTATGAGCACGGCCTTATTTGAATGCTTGTTATTGGGCTAATTATAAAAATTACATCTATTAATCGATACTAAGGTGTACAGGCTTAAACTTAAAAACTTTGCGTTTGCTAGCTGAGTAGCTCTGATGGGAGTAATCGCCCGATAACTCCGTAGTTCCAATGACATCGTATCGTTTGGTAAGTTTTTTAGACTCAGGAACCGCAGCTGGATACCATAAACTTGCAGTCACTTAGCCAGTACTGGACAACCGAACGGAGTAATTTACCTTTTTGTTCAGCCCTAAAAAGACTCATGCACATACACTCACCATAAATATGGAGGAAAGCCGTAAATATCGTCGTTTTACATTTTGTTTTTTAATGTAGCATGAGCTGCCTTGCCAACACCAGCTGAATAAAGATCCCATAAGTAACTTTATCATATGAGTTAGCAGTGGTTAACTCGCATAAACATTTTGCTACGATAGACAAAATCAATCAATGAGTATTAGGTTTTTCAAAAAATTGTTTCCAATATTGTTTCTTCCATTGCCCGCTAGTTCTGCACTTATTATAAAAAGACCATTGAAGCTTTGTGTGCCAACTAAAAACGGGATCGTCTTTATACTGGAAGCATTTGCTTATAGGCGCGGTTCTCCTTGCTGCCAATTTAGATCTTCAAAAACTAAGCATTATAATTGCCGCTAGATGGAAATATGTTACGACTGGGTGAAAAATTCATAATCTGATATTATTTATAACAGATGTGATAACTGATCACTGTTTAACTAACGGGCAAAAAGTTTCGATTTCAAGTTGCAATTCGGGTGACTTTATCGAGAATGATAGTTGCAAAGTCAGGGGCAATTGTCTTCAGGAACTGCAATTTTGCACTGTTACTATTACTTGGCCAGTTGCGGTTCTATTGAGTCAAACTGGAAAAATGCTAATTTTGTTCTTCAGGGTGTGACCCTAAGCGGTTAAAGCAACGGAAGAAGCACAAATAGGCGGACAGGCCGATTACATGCTTCGCCCGCTATCTATATAATCCCCGTCGTCGTTGTTGTTATTATTATTATCATAGTTACTCTTAGTAGTCACGGATGGAACGTATTATGTTTGTGTTGCTAACGTTTTGGGTGGAGCTAACATGCGAAGATGTCATCTGGCCTTGAGGAACGTGATTTGTGAAGGCCGCGCGTGAAACTGAGGTAACACATCAGTTTCTGATTGAGCTTCCCCTTTCGATAATAGCAAAGCCAAAAATGAATAAAGGTAATGTTGAGCGAGCTGGATCTCGCGTATTTACTACTACTACTACTTATAATGGCCATTTCTGCATGAATCTTTTTTAAAAGCTTTTGTTAATTCATATTTTGAAAAATAAACAAAGGATAGCGAATATCCTTATTAGCTCTCAAATTATGCGTGAATAATTTATTACACGTTACCGGTGATTTAGATAGCTACCTGTATCCTGAAAAAGGACACTTGATCGCCTCAGAAATAACAGCGCTGCAACAATTTGTAATCTTATGTCGGTTAGCTTTGCATCGGTAGCGTTTTGAATACTGCTTTCCGGCGATTCTCTAAACTGAGTTGATACTTTCTTGTACAATTCATCTCCTTTTTAGGATGGTTCGATAGGAGCGTTAGACTTCCGTTGCACGAGCCGACACATGTTCCAGTCAGATCGGTCAGAGGGAGACTGATGTGCACGTTCTTCAGGTTCGCCTGCCAAAAAAATGAAAATTATAGGACAGTTCTCCTGACTTCGTTATTCCTTTTTTTTTTTTTTCGCTTGTCAGCTCGGGTATAGACATCACGAGCAAAACTAGTTTTGTTAAATATTTCGAAATGCCATGCAAAGCCTAGCTTTCAAAATGATTCGATCTGAAGATCGATACAAGATCAGAAATTGTGAGTTTTTTTTTTTTTTCAGTAGACATCTGCGTAGGCAAACAAACATTCAATATTGATGTTCTCCCCGTTTGACAGTTCAGTGTCAAATGTCAGTTGATCGGAAAAGCACTGAGTGATGATCGAAGCAGGTGTCGAGATTATCGGACCTGACGGAAAGCTCTAAGCATCTGAAAGAACGTGTGAGAAGGCGAAATCAGACGATATGGCACGCTAAGTATTACCCAAAGTAAAGAACCGTGCAAGTACTGGAGATAAGATAGCTGGAAACATCGATCGACCGTAGCACTGGCGTAAGTTCTGCAGGCCTTTCAGATTAAATATTGACGCACACATTCTGATACTACTGTCATTGAGCAAGTATGTCTCCAAGTAAAACAACGGCAATACGTTGACAGAGTTGTTTTCTTGCTTATCATGAAGATGGTTTCATGCGTTCAAGGTAAGCGCATTCACTGAGTAATTAGCGAATCCTTCGTTGTCGTTGCCGTTCTTCTAAGTACACACGAATCGAAACTTCCAACCATCGAACGATTCTACATCAAGGCCTTGATGGACGCAAGAGTTACAAGAATCTAACTGACTCTTTGTTTTCTTCTCGTTTTTAAATAGAAAACAAACCAGATAAGGCTTCATGCCTTCAGTCTCAGCCGTTTTAGAAGTAACGTTTCCGCTACCTATCGTCCAGACCTATTTGTGAGGCTACATGTTAAGCCCTATCAGCTAATTGATTCCTACAGTTGAATGCGAATCAGACCAGCTTTTGTGCCTTATATGTATGATAGAAACACATGTATACATTTTACACAGGGACAATAGGCGCACGTAGGGCTCCGTATGAGTGAAATACAGACATTACCCTTGTTGCGCATTTAATAAAACAGCACACAATGCCTACTAGTCCATAGACACCGTGTACTAATAATGTATAACGTTATCAGAATTTTATGAAGTGGAACTCTCTATCGAGTGAAGCCATAGCACAAAGGACGATTGACATACCTGTTGCCAATCGGTCCGTTGGCCGGACCGAAGTCGTTTGGGCTATACCGTAGCAAGCTATTTCATTACCTAGTTCTTCTTTCTCTGAAGACGCTACAATACGCTTGCGAAGACGAAATCGATTCCTTTTAGGCGAAATTTCAGATTCATACAGCTCCAATTAATATCATGGCTACCCATAAATCACATCGTTTTTTTTTTTTTTTTTTCATATAATATTTGTTTTCACATTATCTATTCCGTTTGGCTGTTTATGTTAATTATTTTGTTGAAGCTAGACAACTTTCCGAGATAAACATAATCAGTCTATTTGGTTTCCATTACATCTGCTCGACTAGGCAATATTGTGCGGGCTTAGGTTCTAAGCACCGCCACCTTCAGTCAATAGCTGGTAACTTTGCTTCGCATTACTCTTTTCCATCCGGATGCTGTTTGTTTCACTTCCCTTCATTTTTGTACAATTGTTGGACGGCTAAATCTCCCGTCGAGGGCTGATGATGCACTTGCTCCGTACCGTCGTTAACATGTCTAGCCCAATTACTGTTTCGTGCGAACCATTGCAATATATCTAGTTTCATAACTTGTTTTTTTTTTTTTTTCTATGTAGGAAACGCGCATCGAAGTATGCCTTTTCGATCTTCCAGGTCTTAAGCTTCATTTTGCTGTGAAGCAATTTTGCTATACTATAGCGAAAATGACAACAACAACAACATCTGTAAGGACTTTTGATAATCGAACGTTATTCAAAAGCGCGAAGACCAACGGAAGCCCTCAATGGCCCTGAGAATGTAGGCAAAGCTCTGTTAACGGTTTAGGTACGATACGAGATGTCGGTACAAATGTCTACGAAATGTTTATTCATGTTATTGTATTGAAGGGTTTGGTACCAGTTGGTAATGTACCAACATGTGTCATGTAAACGAGTCGATTAAATCCATTTGACTGATAATACCTGCCTGCTGAAGAGGTCGGCAAGGTGCTAGTAACTGAAAAATATTCAGATGCGGTAAGGTGTTAGGGGAAAAATCTGGATTCTTTGCTGCCCAGCGTTGTTTCGCCGCTCTTACAGGCAGACAATGATGCGGATAGGCCATTTTTAGCCGATGCAAGTAGTTACTGCAAACCTTCACCGATACGATCCGAAACGGATAGAGCCTTTTAGTCGGGAAAGTTGACTGCTATTGTTACTACGTGCGGCTTCAGTCCCTCCTCCTCCTCCTCCTCCTACGTATCCTGCATTTGAAGAAAACTAAGTTCTTGTAGTTAGTCATTAGTGGTAAGTAGTATTATTTAATTTTAGGGTAAGTCTCTATAAAATTGTATAATTAGTAGCTCTTAAGATTTAGCATGGTTGATTAGGTCAAAAATACAAATGTACAAACGCAGTTTGCTGGGAAGGTTCGAAGTGCTGGGAAGGGCAAGTTCGACAGTACCTTCAAGGCGCAAAAAGAATATTTCTATGAATTTCCTCTGAATACAGAAACAAATCTAAATTTTGCCAGTGAGTTTATTCGTAAAACTTTATGGTCGCGAAGTGTCGCCATTTTGTTTTCTGAATCATTTTAAAAATCAAGGTCATACACAAACTACTAGGCCTTAGCTTGTGCAACTGGCCATAGCGACTTAACATTACTATTTTTAGTTCAGCTTATGTGTGTAACTTTCTAGATCTGACACTCGCTACCCTTTTTGTATGAACAACTTTGTTGTGTGATGAATTATAACTTGTATATGTTGCTGCCCAGCTACATCCGGTCAAATTCCGCCGATCGGGAAAATAAAGCACATATTTCTCAGTAAAAGAATACATGTATACATATAGGTGTGCTTAAGAATCCTGCTCTATGCTGGATCATCGTGAACTGATCGAGCACGGTTCTCATTTCAGACGTCAAATCTGTTACGTCAGCAGCATCGAACAGCTGTTCACACCACGGCAAACAGACAAACGCAAAAAAACGGATGACCGTAGCACCATACATCCAGACTCGTCCACCCACAAGCGAATACGCGTCAGCGAGGAATTAATAAGTTTGTTCCGTCGATCGTCGCTTGTCGTCTCAGCCGTTGTCCCACAATCACGTAACTGCGTCTTTACCATATTATCCTACTGTTGTTCGACAAACGCTGAGATAATCATCAGACTCGAGTTCATCCCTCTCCGAATGGGTGAGGGTGGAAGTAATTGTTCGACGCCGACGCCAGTGCCAGACCGTGTGTTGGTCACGGATGGTGGTGTGACAGCGGCGCCGCAAGTTTCCCCTTTCTTTGAAACACCAAACAGACCGAGCAGATGCAGTAAGGCCTTGCGACGTTGTGCCACGGACGACGAACGCATCACGAGTGTCGCCTGATTCGGCCTGTTCGTGCCTTGCCACATCGAAACGGTGGTTTTCTGGTAGCAGTACTTTGGTGCCTATCCGATTTCCATTTAGCGATAGAGGACGCTAACAACCCCTTTAACCGGGCTGATTTGAAGACCTGCTGTCTCCCTTTCCGTCTTTTCCTTGAAGCATTTGCCGAATTAGTGCTTAGCAGGTAAATTATGGACTATCGTCACGTTTTGAGCATTTCTGCTTTTTCTTTTGACGACCGTTACTTTGCTGGGAAATTATTGTCAACAGTGCGACAGCGTCACGTTTAGATTCCGGTGGTCCCCGCCTATCGCAATCAAGTTTAGTGCAGACGGCTGGCAGAATCGGAACTTTGACTCTAATCAACGGCGATGATTATAGTTGCACAATTTAACTTACTAGACAACAAAGCCAATATAATTGCTTGGCGAGTATGCCAGGTTAAACGTCGGCAGCCGTCAAGTGATGAAAAATATTTGGAGCTGGGCTAATCTAATTCATTGAACTAAAAAGACGCAACGGCGACATTACTGAAGTAGGATAATCGTTCGTTATTATTTTTGGCAACATTACGTCCTGGTCAAGCTTGATGCCGGCACAGATGCATGTCTTTGCCCGGTCCCGAATTTCAACGCTCCATTTGGGAACAGCCGTTGTATATGACGAAGCTCACATACCTCGATCAACAAGCGAATCAATCACAGAAAATTTGTGACCAAGCCGTTTGGGAACTAAATTCGTCAAAATGGCCTATTTAAACGTAACTCAAGAGCTAGCCAATGATATCGTGCTAATGTCGTCGTGTGAGTGCCGTTCGCGACGTGTATGAACGTGAAGGTGTTCTGCCGCGAGAACTCGATGGATACGTCGTCGTCACCACAGCTGCTGTTCGCCATCGTAGCGGTTGCTTTCGTGTGGCAACACGCCATGGCGACCTGTCATCCATTGCTCGGACGCGACAAGGAGGAGGAGGAGCCCCGTACTCGAGGAGAGGAGACATTTACACGTGAGTTTATGGATTCGCTGATTTTCATACGAGCTCTTTTTGAAGGACATGGCATAGAAAGTTGTCGATGAGTCACAGCTCTGAAGCTACGGGTATACTTAGATGCTAAGTTCCCAAAAAAAAAAGGCCAACTTTAGGCATATTTCGACAGATTGATGATGATGGCGACCAGAAGAAAATGTTCACAGTGTGAACCTTAGAGAAGTTCTAACGATTTACGTTGAAGCATTTATTGATCTACCTTTTTTTCGTAGGAGTTTGGACGACCTTATTCTTGTATAAAATCTAAAACATAACTTGAAATTTCATTAAAGAGATTCAAAATTACAATGGAAATTGTATTTTTGTGATAAAAAGGTTACCGACATTATCTCACGAACCTATTTAGCATCGACTAAATATTTGCTCGACCGAGATTGTTGTCCCATTTCAATTGGTCTATTTTATACACATACAGGTTCTGAGCCTGTTTTTGCAGTCAACCCTATTGAATTGACAGTAGAACCGGCCTACAATACCATACTTCAATTATATCAGTAATTTCAATACTTTGTACCGCTTTCGAATTGCATTTCCTTTTTATGGCACAATGTGGCACAAAGTTAGGCGTTTGCCATAAGACCCCTTGAACACCTTAGGACCTGAAATGCAGAGTCTTATATCTCAACATGAAATTTGCAATCGTACGTCGTGAACTATTTATCCTTAGTGCTGTCGTTACTATCGGCTGGATTAATGGACCTGTGATTATAGGGGTACTATAACACTAGCCCTAATCTTGATAGCTTTATGAAAGTACACGCATAAATAGAAGCATAGTCTGCATTGATATCTGCTATGGCCTATGTAGTTTCGTTCTCCATCTCTGGAGTCATCTCGGCTTCAACAACAGGTAATCTATATCCTGACAACTAGTACCCGTTATGCCCGAAATAGGTTGCTAGATTTCGTTCTTGGTCTTCACAGCATTGCTTTACAAGCTTTTTACTTCTTTTGCTTCCCTCAGTATACCGGTAATTTGGGACAACTTGACAGGACAGAGACATATTATATGGGGTTCTTCTAACTGCAGCATTTGAATAGAACAACCCCCCACAGTTGTACCTGTCGTATTATCCAAATAGCGTTCATTAGTGACGCGCTTGAACCTCGCGATCATCTTAACTAACCGCAACTGGCTTCCTTATTATATTATTGGCTGTGCTTATTTTCTACGAGTAATAATTTTCACTTCATACGAGTCTGCGTATTGATTCGTTATTGTCAAGCTGCTGGAGGTCGCGGACCCTGGTGGCCCGTCAGTGCCGTCCGCCCGGCCTTACACAGTTGCGTGCCATATCATAATAGCTTCTCAAAAAAGGCAACGATAGTCATTATAGAGCAGTGAGGAAAATAGAAAAAGAAACATTGCTGCCACTGTGTGCGATCAGCTGAAAGCTACTGCAACCCTTTAGGTTTCCCGAAGAAAAGAACTTACCAAACCGAGTCAGAAGGAGAAAGGAGAGCTAGGGGCCGGTGTAGACGAACCTTTTGCTATGAGGCTTGTAGAAGGTGGCGACATCCAAAGAGCATTTCTTTCTATATAATATCTGTATCAACTCATTTATTAATTTATTGCTTTTGTTTGCATGATTCACTTTTACACCGCTTAACAGCTTTTTTTCTTATCGTATCTAAACCTCTATTTGATTTAACAAGATATATTCTACCGTTAGATTAAATGAGTCATATTTTAGCGACCTTATCTAGTGACATTATGCGCCTCACAGAGATCCAGGTGGCGATATTAAATGTAAGCGCATCAGATCAGGAAAGAGCTTGCGTTGGGTATTTTCTTGGGGGGTGGGGTGGGGGAGACTGCAAAGGTGTACGAATTGTGATCCTGCTTGGTACTAGGTCATTATTCAGATCGAGTATAACGAGAACGAAAAGGTTAAATGGCACACTTATGCTCCACTCGAGCTGCTGGGGGTAGGTGTAAATGTTCGGTAGGTGCTACTACCGTGTGTCTCGAAAAAAGATGCTGGAGTGACAGGTCCTACGATTAACTGCCTGACCTTGATGCGTGATGGTATAGACACGGGTGCAGCGAATACCCGAACGCCTTATAACGAAAATCATAGTCAGATATAACTTGTTACGACGAGAAGCCTTTACTGGGTATGTAACTCGTGTGTGATCGTGTATTATGCCATAGACATTTGCAGTTGGGTGCATTAGGACTATAATTCATACGATACTTGACGCAATTATGTAGCATAAGTTGTTACTTTAATTAATTTAGAGAAACTTTTAAATTAGTTACTGACATTTGAGATATCATTGAATTACATGATTTCTGTTCAGAAAAGTATCTACGCACACTGGCAAACAAACGGTCGTGCCTTACGTACTACGTACGTTGAAAACGCACTGGCCACGTTTACGCGTTCAACCATCTGTTACTATTTACTGGTCGCCTTGTCGAGCGTACTCCATACATCTCATTACCTTGCTGTTGAAGATCGTCAGCTAGCAATTGTTCATGCGATTCTTCAAAGCAGACGCACTGCGAGTACCATTTGTATCTGTTTCGGGTTAACTGGCTGAAGTGAAACAGCTGCTGACAATGGCACTAGCAGCGGCAATGTGAAAGTCCAGATTCAGTCCCAGCCCGATTCGAAGTTTGCTTGTGTTGCCATTGGCACCACCCCAACCGCCGCGGTGATCGGCTTAACTGAAATGGCCTCGGTTGTTAGATTAGCAATACCACACGGAAGAAATCTGGCTATTTTGGCATCTCTTGCTTCTCTGTCATAATTGACAACGACAAGAACGAAATCATAAGCGTACTGTCCGCTACCGCATCGCAACTACTGTTACATATGGCGCTATGACCAAGAGAGAGAGAGAGGGAGAGAAGGGGGGGCAACGCATTTCTACGCCAAGCGTGGCATTACGCCTTATGGTACGAGACACGCGGGAAATTCGAAGCAAGCTAATACATTTGGGAAGATAAGCGGCGCCAATGTTACCGGCCGTAACGTAAATGAATATGTACTGCATGTAATGACCGTTGCGGCGCTCCTATCTGCACGAAGATAAAAAGAAACAACATGATTGAATCAATGAGCTGCGACGACCGCCGATGGTTTGCTATCTTGACGCCGTCTCTGCTGGAAAAAACAAGGCCTGTCGGCGAGTTCTGCTACTACCGCGGCGTAGAATGATGGGATTTCTCACTTCGTCTTACCGATAAACATATCGTGTTGTTTGACATTTGCTTACCTATATCGCCGCCATAGGTCAATGTGAAACGCTCAAATGTATGTTTATTTCATAGGTCGGCCGTAGGCTATAATTATTGATGGTAACCCCGCCCAGTGTACTCTGGGAACGACCTGATCGGGTACGACCTGAAGGGTAAATCGTAAGTGGTTAAGATTATAGGAGTCCTATTTGAGTGACTATAGACACACACGGTATGCGGCCCGCCTGAAATTCACGAGACATGATTAATCTTTTAGCTTTTGCCCATTTGCCTAAGGCTAGTTGTGAAATCGCTTTCTGGCAATTTGACGGTAGTATAACGTTAGCGGGATGCCTAGACTATCCAACTTGTTGGCGATCTTCTGGGTAGTTAAGCCTAGTGAAGACTAGTAAATGAACGTCGTAACGCTGCAAACCAATAAGATGGTAATTTATTCGCGACCTGAGGTGAGTGCGTGCGACTTTTATAATGGGGAAAATGTTTTACGAGAAAAAATTATTGCATCTGGCCCCCTATGTATCATTCGAAAGCACAATGATCAAAATGTAGATGGCAAAACTCAAGGAATAACGTAATACATAGCTCGAACTGAAGTCTTTCTGACAGTAATTTATTAACTAATCATCACGGAAACTAGGAATCGTTAGTCGCCGATAGACTACCGACAGTGAACCCCGAATTTTGTAACTAGCTGGGGGTACGTAGAAATGTAGCATGTAGGCGTGCACCTTTCCTGGAACTAGCAAAAATGACCCAATTATTAAATCAGTGGTTACCTAATGCGGCCTGTAACTTTTTGCTAGCTGGCGTTCGTCTAAAAAATACGGCGCACGCCAGCGGCGCATGTATGCTTGCTTATAGGATAGTAAATCAACATCAGTTAGCACAAGGAAGCAAACATACTTTGTAGGACAGAAGGATAAAATGTTTATAGTGGAGGAGTAGTCTGAGAAAAATTCAAATCAGAAAAAAATATTCTTTACGTAGCCTGCCAGGTACCAAGGATATTTGATTCATTCGTTATCAATGCATTTTATTAAAGCATAAATACATGTCTTGCTTATTTTTTAAACACTACGAATTTTTCAAGTACCATTACGATGCAATATATAAAATTTTAGTTAAAAAATGCCTCAATTTCTCATTTACTGCGTCTTTTTTTCTCTAAAATAAGATGCACTTTCCTTAGTGCAGTTCAGGAAAAGCGTACTAAGGCCAAACAGGCGGCCCTAAGAGACAACGGTTTTTTTTATTTACTGGTGCTGCTACTGCTATTATCATACACGTACTACTTCACGTATATCTTCGAGATGGTGATCTATATGGAGATAAAGAATGGCTCTCTAATATGCGCTGCTGGGAGTACGTTACGCTATCCTTGTTAGCCGCGGTAGTCCCCGTGCTCACATCTATAATCGATTGTCCGCTAATGAAAATTTCCCCCACATCTGCTACTGCTGCCCCTACTGCAGGTAATGATTTCCTCGAGTTTGAGTGGAAAGGACAAAGACGACAACGAGGCCTGGACAGCGCGGACGAAAAGGAGGCCAGGGCGAGCCCACAACAAATGGATGAGAAACAGAAGGCGCGGCAGAACGAACTTTTAACTCAATCGTCTCTGAATAGTACAAAATAATTATGGCCACTTTTTTCCCGGTGCGCATGTTAACCGACCTGTTGTTAGCGAACTATTGTCTGTTTGCAAACAGGTTCAACTCGTCTTTCTGCGTCAGCTGGTCCATCCGACCTT